TGGGTTGATGAGTTTTTAAACCGATGCTCCACGCATCACAAAGAAAATTTCTGTTTATCACCTGCGTTGTTTTGTAGCGGCTGAAGAAGTTTCAGACAGACACAAGAAATACCGCACATCTTCTGGACTTGACAACACTCGTAGTAAGTGAGGAAATATGCTTTTGCTCCATTACAGCGTCACCTGACTTCCTCTTTTGTTCCCACTATAATTACCACTGTCACTGGAGGGCTTTGTCATTTAAAGTAAACATGTGGTTTTGGGGCACCTGCTGAAATGACTGATCCTGTTGTTTTCCTTTGAAGGACTGAGCGCAGCTGTCACGTCAGACTAGAAAAGATTGAGCAGAACAAAAGGACAGAAAAAAAAACACCACCAGTGTCTCTTTAATTAATGGATATAATGGAGTAAATGAGGTGTGAGTGGTAATAAAGCACAGAGATGACATGTCATGTGACGGTGGTAGTTGTGATATTTGTGGCTGTGCAGAGCATGACTCTCTGGTTGTTCCTCCCACACACTGTCTGCAAATCAGTCCTGTTTAATATTAGACTTCACTGGAACACAACACCGCCTTCACAGTCTCCAGAGACCGATGTGAGTGAGCACATATGATCACACCATCTCATAAATGCCAGTGTGCGCGCACACACACACACACACACGCACACACACACACACACAAATGTTTTCCTCACACAGTTACATGTTATTCCAAAAATCAAAACTCAATTTCAATGTGTGAAAGCCGACAGTTTATCTTCTGTGCGATGCCACAAAATCCATCTTTTCTAACTGATGAGCTGCTCGTCACACTTTTGTATACGAGTTCACATCACACTCCTCAAAACTTGGACAAAAATATTTCTCTTTGTGGCTCAAAAGACATTTGAAAGTTCTCACCATTTGCAGATGTTCAATGTGTTAAACCAGGCAGACACTCTACACTTTATAAAAATCTCACATTGCACATTTTAAGTGCCTCTTTCTGCAACGGCCAAAACATACAACCTCTATGATCAGATCGATCGACTGGTGCTCACACTAAACATAAACATATACCCCCTCAGGGTGCGAACTAAAGAGGAGCCAGAGGGAGCTTGATTTCTCTTAATAAGAGCTCTTCTCCTGCGTCTTCATTATGTATAAAAATCAGGCTGTTATTCATGTACGCTGGTTTGTTGATAACGTGACCCTCGAATTAAAACACCTGGTTTGGTCACCACAAGCACGCCTGGAAATGTCCTCAACTCGTTAAAATAATCCAGATTGTGGCGCCAGAAACACGACTGAAAAATGTAACTGATCTCAAACACTGTTCTGCTGCTTGGCCACCTGCTCACCTGGGTCTCACGCCTTCCACCAACCTTCCTCTTCCTCATGATAAACTCAGCTCGTATACATGTAAGCACAACTATGTCACTTTAGAAAAGTTGATGTTTGTTGTGCAAATGCAACATGTCCGTGATTTATAGAAACGTACAATGCAAAAATTTTATCCTGGTGACTGGGTTGGTTTATTGATATGAAGATGTGACTGACTGTTAAATACGTGCAGCCAGTTCTTCTCCCCAGGTTGTCAAATACCAGCGCCTTGTCACGCCCCTCTGGCGTCTGATAGTGATGCACGTTGCAACTTTTAGTGTATCTAGTATGTGACTCACAGTTCTAACTAGGACTGTCAAACGATTATTTTTCTTAATCGCATGTTTAAAATTCCATTATTTTGCATTTGAAAACAGTTTTGAAGTCCATATAAACAAGGTGAAGCAGTTCTTACCAGAGTGTCTTAATTAAGAATCAAATGAATTTACTGCGCACATTTCAGGAGTTTCAGTTTAGCTGCTTTCTCTGATAATACAGGTCCTGTATGATTGAAACTAATGTTCCCTGTTACAGTAAGACATATGCCTGGTCACAACATGTCAACCTGACGATGTCCCTTAGACCCGTGTCTGCCATGATGTTGACTGGTCTGCAGTCAGTTGCAACCAATTTAGCAGCGCTGTAGTTAACTTCTTAGTTTCATCCACAGGTCCGTGGTGATTGCAGGCTTTGGCGATGCGTCAGCCTGCTGATATCAGTCTGATTAGCTGCATCTGTGTGCTCAAAGTACTTCAGTGATATTTTAATTCTGTCTGACACTAGGTGGTATCACTTTTGACTTGTCAACTGAGCCATTCGGGAGTTTTATAAAGTGAAAGGAACTGTTTAAAAGCAGGGTTGTGTCATTATTTTCCATCACTGCAGCAGCAGGAAGCCGCTGTGGCCGCTTGACTAAAAGTAAGGACATGTGGAAGGGACAAAGTAGCAGCATGTGATGCATGGTCAAGGTAAGATTTAGGCAACAAAACTATTTGGTATATAAACTGCGTTTCGTTACAACACTAACTAATGGTTTCACACGGGACACAAACTGTGGTCTTGTGGGTGGAAGTCCAGTTTTGTTCGACACATCCACCTCCCTCCCATTCTATGAAAACTTTCTCACTATTTATACGCCAGTTACTCTTACGTGTTGCTGTGGATGGGTTTACACTGGAGTTAGTTGAAAGCCCTGTGCATCTCATGCAGATACTAAAGGTTGATGTTGGCGTCTTTATCACATGTCGCGGGGTGTGACGAAGTATTTGATGACCTGGAGATGATGTACTGTGTTTGCCACAGATATTAATATAAAAACTATAGCAGGGTATAGACTGTGCAGAATCTCAGTGATCTGCAACTGATGTATGAGGAGCTTCCCACCCTCATCTAGTTCTCATGTATTCATACTTTCTGCATCCTTGTTCATTCATTCATCCGTCTCTTTCTGGATGTCTTTACTCTGCCATATGTGAGGTCTGATAGCACGACTCCCTACATCTCTATTCACACTGGATTGAAGGATTATTGTGTTTAGCTCACAGGCTCAACACTGTGGGAGCCTTGACTCTGTGTGTGTGTGTGTGTGTGTTGAGCATGGTGATGATAACTCTTTAAAGCAGCAGAGCACAAACAACAGCTCTTTATCAGCTCTCCCTCAGCCCTGCCTTCCCTGTTGTTGAGTGATACACACACACACACACACACACGCACACACGTTCCTCCGTCTCCCTCATCAACCTAATTTCCCCTCAAATCCAGATCAAGTGACTCCTCAGGTCTGATTGGATGAAACTGAGCTCAGCACTGTGAAATGATTTCACCTGTAATGACTGAGCTGAGGTGATCTCTCAGTCCGTACTTCATTACCAGCATTTGATATCAAACAGACGCAGTTCTTATCAGAGCGTTCTTCAAATTAACGGTTCTCACCTTCATTAACTGTCCCGCAGATCGTCTCACATCCTCTCATTAAGTCTCACTCTGACAGGTAATTGTCTGTCAAAGCTGCCGGGCTGCTGCGTAGTTTTCATCCAATTCTGCGTCGCCAATTTACACATAATTTTCCTCAAATAATAAACAGACCATCCTTGTTGTATTTTACTCTAATTAGATTTCCGGTGTGTCATTTCTGCAATCCAACAATCAGCTAAACTCATTTCAGATCAGTTTCTGTTCCCATCTCTCAATTAATTTGAACACTATTGTGGTAATTTGGGACAACAAATAATTTGAATATTGAGAGGGGAACAGCAGAATAAATGGATATAAATATAGGCAATAAACAAGGAAAGTATGATTTTAAGCTTCCTTTTTTTTTTTTATCAAGCACACTCTCAGCTTTCACACGTACGGCACAGTATCAAGTATCTCTGCTACGTATTTAAATTAAATACAGTCTTATCTAACAGCTGCTTGTGCCCTTTAAATTCTTATTTTTATGGGAGCAGCTCACATTGAACGCTATCAGTCAATATGTTCATATGACATTAGAGAAAATGAAGACTTTTAAAATCCCCGTAAACATGTTAGTCTGACTGAAATCATACTAAACTGCCTTTCTCACAGTGGGACTAACACACCCAGATCATGTGACTCCTGCATGTATACAGTCAATCAGACCCAAACTGGCCGAGGCGCTCTGAGCATGCTCCACAGTTTCCGCCCCGGGCTTTGACCCGGAAGTCCAATAGCATTAAATGTGTAAGAGAAGAAGAAGCCGGTAACAACATGGAGAAATCTACATCCAGAGCCGTGACTTTTTGGACGGACCAAATGTACAGAGCTGTAAAGTTGTCCACCATGGTAGCAGTTAGCTGCTAGCTAACCGTAGCTAACTTGTTTGTCCATTGTTTGGTCTGTGACGTAATAGGTCAACAGGAAAAAGGTCCAATACTAACAAGCTGAAAGGGGGCATATCTCCACCTATCGTAGAGGAGTCGCACATACTTGGCTCAATAAATGGATTCCCCTCCCGTGCTTGTTTACTGGGACAAGGACAGTAGTCGAGCTGAAACTGTAGCTCCACTTCACTGTGCATGTAAATGGTTCAATGGGCTGCACTTGTATAGCACTTTTCTCGTCTTCCAACCCCTCAAAGCACTTTTACACTATATATCACATTCAAACAGTCACTGGAGGCCGAGGCTACCATACATGGTGTCACCTGCTACTCAGTGTCCATTCACACTCTCTCACACTTATGGAACAGCCATCAGGAGCAATTTGGGATTCAGTATCTTGCCCGAGGGCACTTCAACATGCGGACTAAAGGAGCCCAGGATTCGTGGACGACTTGCTCTACTTCTGAGCAACAGCACAGCTGCAGATGTATTGAATTAATGTATTGGCAGAAGTAAAGAGGTGCGCTTTGGTGGATCCAAACAACTTGTCCTCACACAAGGGTTTGTATGATGTTTTACAAATTAGCGCTCCATCAGTTAGCTTAGGTTTAGGAAAAGAGAAATGGTTGGGTGTGTTATTTTGGCGAGTATTTTCAGTACGTTCAGGACTCTCGTGGCCTGAACAAAGGTCAGTGAGTCTAACCTGAAACAACCCAACCAAAAGAATAAAAAATGGAAGAGCACATTTCCACAAACATTACCAGGAGCTTCTCTCTCTGTAACCTCACTTACCCAGGATGGCCAGCACAGTGTTGTCTTTCAGCACCTCCATGGACCCTGAGCAGACGAAGTAGATGGCCTGCAGGGCGTCTCCCTGCCTGATGAGGAATTCGCCCGGAGCACAGAAGGAGGTCTTGATGATGAGGGAGAGGGAGCGCAGGCAGCCCCTGCTGGCCGACTCGAACAGAGGCAGCTGGAGCAGCTCCTTGTTCAGGTGCATGGCGATGTCAGCCCTTAGCTCGTCTGGGAAGTCCTTCAGTAGCTGTAAAGCGAGAGGGGGGTTCACACTCATCAGGTGGTCTTTCCTGAGACTCACAGCGGCTGCTTCGACTGAACAGCAGGCTTCCACACAACTCCACCATCCTTAATTACCTGAGAGCAGTAACTCCCAAACATGTGACTGAGGACAAAGATGTGGAGCAGAATGAAAGTTAAATAAAGATTCAGGTTATCAAGGTTTATCCTGACAGCAAAAATGATATGACAGTAAAGATGAACAGCATTTTTAGAAGATCATTATGGGGTATTTTATGCCTTTATTTGATAGTGACAGAAGAGAGAGGCAGGAAATGTGGGGAAAGAGAGCAGGGGATTGAAATGCAGCACAGGGCGCCGCTGGTCAGGTTCCAAATTGGGGACTGGAAACCGGGTCCGACTCTCTAACAGATCAGTTACAATCAAAATATGAAGAAGCAGCAAAGGGCTGTGGGTGAATCGAACCCGTAGCTGTTGGGGTACGGACACAGCCTTTGAACCAGGTGAGCTCGAGGGCGAAATCAAAATCCTCAGAGGGGCTGCCATTGTGCGTCAATGTTGGGACTCTCAGCATGAAGTGGAAATGCGCAGGCATGGTGACATTTCCACTTTGCATACGATGGATTAACCACCTTACGTTGTAAACAATAGATTACAGCAAAGGGAAAGAAACGCTTGTTGTGATCAAAGACATGGCAAATTCATTTAAAGTGCACTTACTTCTCTGTAGAAATGAGTAGTGTTAACAACAGCTTGTATTAAATGGCCCTGTTGGGCCTCACCACTGGTCGCATATTTAATTTCCGTATTTCACACATAAATCAGGACTTTGGCTGGGAATAAAACACATGGCCAGAATGCACCAGAATCTAGCGGCAACCTCCAGGGCTGACAGAGGAAGCCTACGTGGAAGTGCCAAAAACTGCAGCTCCTTGAACGTCCACTCAAGACTGGCTCAAGAAGCCGGTCAGTCCCCATAGGTGCCCAACTTTACAGCAGAAATAAACATGTTTACAGCCTGGTACAAAAAACAGTTCTGATCTCTTTAGCTAATTTCAACATTCATGACAACTGTAAGGTTGATTAATTTTTACATAACTCAACTGTTTACATTTTTTTAAGGTTTAACGTTGGAAATGATCGAGACTGGTTCCGCTTGAGTGACAGGCTGTCTGCCAAAAGCGTCCTTGGATTCTGAGTCAGATCGAATTTGGTCACCAAAAACCAAGATAGCGACGACCAAAATAGTGAACTAGAGGCTTTAAAACTTGAGGCTACAAACCAGTGGGTGATGTCATGGTAGCTACATTCATTATTTTTACAGTCTATGACCAGAATGCATCAAACTGCACCAATGCACCACTCATAAAGTTCAGTTAAAAAATTTTTTTTCCAGCAGCACCCATTAGTTCTCCTCCATGATGCTGACCGACATTAAAACTATTTGCAGTTGTGGCTTTTTCTGCATTTTGAGTGAAATGACCCTTTATGATGATACATATGTGAGGTTTAAAGTGGAAGAATGTGTTCATGAGATCCTTATAAACAGTGAATATTCACACACTTGTACCTCTGTATCACATGTACGTTGAGGTGAATGTATTTGCTCTCTCACCTCACTGACGTCTATCCCATTGTTGACCGACCACGTGGTCTGGAAACACTCCAGCATGCGCTGCTCCAGGGCCTTGGGCAGCCGATGGACCCTGATGAAGTCCTTCAGGTCCTTGGTGCGGGTGTGGTACAGCGAGCGGCGTGAATACATCCTCTGGATGATGGCGGTCACGTTACCAAACACCACTGCATGCATCAGCGCTGCAGACAGAGGACAGGTCGTGTGCTATTAGTATGACACAGACTTAATTACAGAGTTATCTGATTGGCTCTTATCTAGAGTGGCTCAGGATAAATCCCATAATACTTCTGCACAGCGGGGAGCTTCACAGGACGTCTTTATAAACCCCAAGAAGTTAAAGAGCACGGGGCTTAAAAGGACTTAGCTGCTCAAAAACCACTGTAAAGCACCGCCTCGAGTGGATTACTGCTGCCACAAAGGAGCAGAGACACTGCTGAAATAAAATGAATGAATCTTTTATTTTAATGAACAAAAAAACAGTTAGAAAATTATTATTCTAAAACCCAAAACTAACGAGAACCCCAGTCTACGAAATGACTCTGGTGTATTAATATTTATTAAACACTTCCACAGCCACACTTGAGTTAGAACGTGCACACAGCCTACCAGCAGCCTCCCAGTGAGGACTGGATCTCTCTATCCCATAATGCACCTCCTGACTGTCCTGCAGAGCACTTTCTCTCCCTAAATTTAATTCCTGTCCAAGTAGAAAAGGTGCTGAAACAGCGTTCAGACCACAGGACACTTACACAGTCCACTGACACCCAGACTAATGACATTATTTTAGGATGACTGCTCCGTCAGGCACAATGACCCACCTCACATTTAGAAAAACTCTGAGTTCAGATGTGGAATTATCCATCAGTTAGAGCTGAAGAGCACCTGCTCAGTAGGCAGGAAAAATGTTGGCATTGTACATTTCTGCAAACCACAAAATGTTACATCTGCAACTTTCATATGTGTCGTATCAATGTTTCTAAAGTGACGTAGTACATGAGCTGACTGTCAGGATAGTGAGACACCTGCCAAGCTGCAGAGTGCTGTTCGAGACCAACAAACAATAAACCAATTGTTTCTTAGCAAGCAGCTTTTTAGCCACCAAACATTTGAGTTTTATGGTTACTCAAGGCTGTTTTTCCAGCATGATAGTGCCATGAAAAGTCATGGATGGTGTGAGACCTAGGTGAGATATCTGCCATGCTGCAGAGCACTTAGGTTTTTAGTAAGATGTCTCTGTGTTTCCAGCTGCTTTTCAACCACCAAAAATGGGTGTTTTTTCACCGGGATATCGCTGTGTTTCTAGCGGGGATAGTGTCCCCAAAACTAGGGGTCGTATTCACAAACATTCTGAAAACACTCACTCTCAGAGAATTTTTTTTAGTAAGGAGTTGTAGCTTAGTAGTGATTTAGGAAAGTTCTCAGAGCAACTGAGGGAAGGGACAGAAACTTTTACCTTAGTGAGGAGGTGTGGTCGACCCTGTTGCTCAGTGTGACACATTCTTTTAACCGATGTGATTGATTGTCACAGACACACCCTTGCTGAGCCTGCAGGGTGTGGACACTCAGTGGAAATGAAATGAACTGCTGACTGTGAAAGTGTTGTCATTGTTAGTGTGATCACTCTGCTGATGGAAGGCTGAGACAGACTCAACTCATCACTGCTGCACGGTTGCTTTTTTCCAGTTTCCCAAATATGTTGGTATCTTACTATATAATGATGAAACCTCTGTCTGTGTGTCTGTTCCACGTTTTTCTCCTCACTGACTTGGTCATTCCATGTGAAATTTGGCACAGTGGTAGAGGGTCATGGGAGGATGCCAATGAAGCAATATTACATCAATTGGCCAAAGGGGGGCGCTATAGCAACCCATTGAAATGTCAAACTTTGAATGGGCATATCTCATGCCCCGTATGTCGTCGAGACATGAAACTTTGCACAGTGATGCCTCTCCTCATGAGGAACACATTTGCCTCAAGAACCCATAACTTCCGCTTATATAGATTTTCCGCCATTTTGAATTTTTTGAAAAACACTTCAAATGGATCTCTTCCTAGGAAGTTTGAGCGATCTGCATGAAACTGGGTGAACATAATCTAGGGACCAATATCTAAAGTTCCCTCTTGGCAAAAGTTGGAAAACTTACTAAAACTGAGCTTCTATAAGGCAATGAATATTGCGGAGGGCGTGGCTCATCACATAAAGGTGTATAACATCTCAAGGGTTTCACCCATCACCACGCAACTTTGTAGGCATATGACCACACATAATCTGAGGGGACCCCTCCATTATTGAGCCCATCAAACAAAATGGGGGCGCTAGAGAGCTCATTTCTTATCTAGGCCTAACCGCCATATGGATTTTTACTAAACTTGGTAGATATGTAGAACAGGACGCCTCAAGGTGACTGGAGAAATTTAACTCTAATTGGCAACTGGGTGGCGCTATAACAACAGAAAAATGCTTCAAAATGGCTAAAATGCGACCGATCGCTGTGGCTCCCCCTGTGGACCAATGTTGGTGTTTTTTTCTAATTTCTGGTATGACTAAGTCATGGTATGGTATGCTGTACTCAATGGGTATGGACTAGTAATTTTGATTTTGGCGTTATAGCGTAAGGTGGGAAATGTGTTTGTATTAATGACATCAATCGCTCATATTATCATCGCACCATCTAATCTGTAGCATTTCATTTACTCACTGTCATCCAGTGATTGGAGAATATTTCTCTTACCTCTTTGTGTTTACACCATTTTCTCCTCTGATTAAGAAACTCTTAATCCTCTTAAAAGTCCTCCTCCCCTCCTAACAGTTTTACCTTAAGGTCTAAGATGCTCTGTGAATAACTTTTATCTTTACGATGACCTAGTCTTAACTTTAAGGGGAAATTCTAAGAAAACGTCACAATTCTAAGAATTTTCTTAATATTTTATCACTAGGAGCAACTCTCAGCACTAGGAAGCTTTGTGAATACTGTCCCAGGTGTTTTAACATAATCTTTTCCTAACCATAACCATAAGTGTTTTTGTGCCTAAACATAACCATACATTAACCACAGCATTGTTGAAAGACAAAAAAATGTAAGTTTAAACATATTTGCTACAAAATAACACACAAATCTAACATATACTTGGTTTGCAGAAATGTAAAATGCCAAATGATGTTCTTGCGACTGTGTTGGGGGCAGACACTGCTGCAGGGAAACTCAGCAGGATAAAATTCAGAGAGATTAATGAAGCTATAGTGTCCTCTCTTTAGCCTCTCTGTGTGTTGGTGAGCTTGCTCTGCTTTGACAGAAGACTGTACATACACACGTCTGTGGGTGCAAGGTTATTAAAAATCAATGCAACACAAAAAACACCCACTCCAAAACCAAAATTTAATTGAAGGACGAGGAGCTTTATTCTATGTTTTTCTTTCTGTCGGCAAATCCCATGAAAAGACCGGACCAACATGTTGGTCTCTCAACACTGTGAATGCTCTGTCTGTGGCGTTCAGCTCGTTGGTTCCCTCTGAAGACGTAAATCTTTAAAAAGGGGTCAAAACAAACAGTTTTTAAAAATTCGTTCACTGATTTCCTTAAGCAGCTGGGCTCTGCAGCTTTTAGCAAATGTCACTTTAACAGCAGGGTGAATAGAGAACTGCAAAGTGTTCTTGCTTCATTAAGCAGTGTTCTGTGGTGGGCTGTGTATAGTGTGTTGGGAACAAGCTGCAGACTGCAAAATCAATCTGAGTGGCCATCTTATACTTCTATCACAATGTTCTAAGCCCCGATACAAGCATTCAACTTTTGGATAGGCACCTAACCAAAATACAGATAGCTTTTATCACATATTTATGACTTGAAAACTTGACACAAAGTGATGAGTCCTCATAGTACCATCTCAAATTAACCCTCAGGTCCCCGGCTTTCAGATTATGTATACCACTTCGATGGGCTACATACTGCTGACCTGATATCGCCCCTAAAGATCCACTGTACGCCTAAAAAAGAAAAAATGGGTCTACTAGCGGACGAGGTTAATGTTATAACATTAAAGTTCAGGCACATCAGCACCTCTCACTGGAAAATGGCAGATTTGATTACTTCCAGTGAAGAAACATCGAGCACAGGCAGAAGTCACCGCCTGAAGTGTGTGATTTGTTACCTAAAGGCTGTGTGTGTGTGTGTGTGCCATGTGTTTACTGTGGACACAGAACCTTTTCATTGTCACACATGAGTTCATGTAACTGCACGGTGGCAGTTAAGGATAAAGTTGGGTTTTAGCCCCTGGAGAAGAAACGCAAGTCGATATAATGTCCTCACATGTATAACACTAAAAGTGTGAGTGTGAGAGTGTGTGTGTGTTTGTGTGTGTGTGTGTGTGTGTGGTCATTTACAGCCCACTTAATGTGCAGCGAGGCCTGAGACATCCCCACACCTCGCCGTGTCCTCTGACCATAAATATTGGCATTTCTCTCAGCAGATAACCTTTTCCTTCCCTCCATTTCTCTCTCATTTCTTCTTTTATTGCTTTCTGCCAGAACATTCAGTTTCCTTCATTATGCATCAGCACAAAAACATCTCAATTCATAGCTCAAACAGGTGGTACGGTGCTGCATTCATCCAACATATATTCTGTTTTAGTAAAGCAGTAAAACGTAGGGTTAAAAGAGACCTTTAGGCAGACTCACCGATACAGATACACCTTGCTGGTACCGGGTTGGACCCCCTTTTCAATTCTTGGTGCCACAGATTCAACAAGGTGCTGGAAACATTCCTCAGAGATGTTGGTCCATATTGACATGATGACATCACACAGTTGATCCGTGACGTTCCAGCACATCCCAAAGGTGCTCTATTGGACTGAGATCTGGTGACTGTGGAGGCCATTGGAGTACAGTGAAGTCATTGTCATGTTTGAGATGATGTGAGCTTTGTGACATGGTGCGTTATCCTGCTGGAAGTAGCCATCAGAAGATGGGTACACTGTGGTCATAAAGGGATGGACACGCTCAGCAACAATACTCAGGTAGGCTGTGGTGTTTAAACCATGCTCAGTTGGTACTAAGAAAATCTCCCCCACACCATTACACCACCAGCAGCAGCCTGAAGCGTTGATACAAGGTAGGATGGATCCATGCTTCCATCTGAATGTGGTTTTTCCAATCTTCTATTGTCCAGTTTTGGTGAGAAAACCCGTGTGAATTGTAGCCTCAGTTTCCTGTTGTTAGCTGACAGGAGTGGCACCTGGTGTGGTCTTCTGCTGCTGTAGCCCATCTGCTTCAAGGTTGGACAAGGTGTTGTTGCTTCAGAGATGCTCTTCTGCACACCTTGGTTGGAACCTGTGCTTATTTGACTTCCTGTTGCCTTTCTATCATCTTGAATCAGTCTGGCCATTCTCCTCTGACCTCTGGCATCAACAAGGCATTTTGGCTCACTGGATATTTGCTCTTTTTGGGACCATCCTCTGTAAACCCTAGAGATGGTTGTGCTGAAAATCCCAGTAAATTCTCAGACCAGCCCGTCTGGCACCAACAACCATGCCACGTTCAAAGTCACTTCAATCACCTTTCTTCATCATTCTGATTCTCCGTTTGAACTTCAGCAGCTGGTCTTCACCACGTCTACATGACTAAATGCACTGAGTTGCTGCCACGTGATTGATGTACCTAATAAAGCGGCCGGTGAGTGTATCTTAACCATGTCAGACAGATAAGATGGGACAAGGCCTTTTAGTGATTTAAAAAACAATAAAAGAGTTGTAAAATTAGTTCTTTGATCGGCAGGGAACTGATGAGTAATGTGGGCTCTCTGTCTGGTTTTTGTCAGAACACGTGCTGCTACATTTTGTACAAGCTGTAGCTCACTAATGTCTTTCTCAGACACACCAGACAGAAGAGCGTTTCAATAGTCCAGTCGGCTGGAGATAAAAGCATGTATTACCTTGTCTGTATCTGCATGGCAAAGAACTGGTCTGACTCTGGTGATATTCCTCAAGTGATAAAAGGACACTTTAGTCACGTTTCTAATATGATGCTCAGAGTTGAGGTCAGAATCAGTGATAACATGTTTGTTACATGTTCCTTGGTGTTTAACGAAAACAATTTCAGGTGTTAAATCAGTTTCTCTCTGCTTTTGCTCTAATTACAAAAAGTTCTGATTCATCCACAAAGATACTGTATTTATCCAGTGTATTATTATTTCAGACAGCTGGAAAATAATTCTTCAGCTTATTAAATACGAAATTTTAAAGTTCCATCCACGAACACATGTTGATCGGAGCATTTCAGGACAGTTGGATGATTGTTAAAAACCCTGCTGATGTGCTTTTAGTGATTAGAGACTCTTGCTGACATTTTACAAGATGTCTCTCAAATGGTGCCGTTTTTTAGCAAACAAAACCTTATTTTATGTTCAGTGCTGTGGAATCATTTCCCCACAAGTGGCATTAATCACATCAGAGAGCAAACTGAAGGGAGCCTTGAAAAGATGATTTATGAGTCAGTTTGGAATATGTGAGCCTATTGTCTCTGCGTCGGTGTGCTGGGTTATTTGGTTTGTTTGAAGACAAAGAAAATGAGGTGTTTGTGAGGTGTTATTGTCTTGTTATCCTCACTGATTGGAGCTCCAGTGCTGACTTTTATTTTAATCAAGAAAGAAAATCAATTAGTTATATTTAGCATCAAAGCAATATCACCCTGAGACTTGAGTCGATAATATTAATGGGCAGCCATTGTTTTAAAGTTAATAGTCTGTTAGATGTGCAGCGTTCAAAGTCTTTCTCCAATTTTCTCCCATTAATCATCTGATCCTCACTGGACTCCATGAACAGAAGCTCCATGACAAAATGCACATATCTGACTCATTCTGAAGATTCAGCGTCTGTGTGTGTTTGTCTGAAGGTGAAACTGTGGAGTGATGGCGTCCAGAGCAGAGACTGAAGTCACGCTACCTCTGTGTGTGTGGTAATCTGAGCTTCTCTGTTCTTTGTTGGGTCTGGTCGAGTGAGCGTGTCAGTGCATGTGAATCCCTGTGTGTATCCCACTGGTGTTATCATAGCACCCATCCTCCAGTTCCTACCCAGGTAACAGTAGGTGCATTTACACAAAGCTAATATTCAACTAATAATCTGAATAAGCACCTAGATGAGAGGAGACTAGCTCGATCAGACGGGTTCTTCAATCAGGTTGAAAGGGGTGGTGTAAACCTTCAATAGTCCGGTCAATAGAAAAATATTAGCACCTGGTTAACCATATATGTTTGTTCCAATCATCTCTCTGTGGGAGGAATAAACATATTCTTGTGGGCCGGACAAGACATGCCACAACAGCTCTTTCTACACATCTTCCTCTGTTGATACTGACAGAGAATCATCCAGAAATTAGAAAATATTTCGCACTCTGCTTGAGCCACACTCTCATGTGAGTGCTCTGATTTATAAAGTACTCTCTGATTTTGAAACAGCAGACTTATCTAATGTTGCTGCTACAGGCTAAATTGTTGAGTCACTGGATATAACAATCATCAGTGCTACCAGTAGCAGTGCCTTGCGTATGAGACATTTGGGTCCCAATCATACAGAAAGCGATTTAGCAGCCAGAGGCGAGAATACAACTTTTTGCTTTCAGCTGAATTCTCTAATTAGACTGATTTCAATTGGATTGAAGACATATCGTCCATGTAACCAGGGATCAAGGTCAAACTCTGAAAAGAGTAATTATCAGTGTTGTAGAATTTTAGCAATGTACCATTTTCTATTAAACTAGATATTAAAGCTGCATAATTCTCTACGTTTATTTACAGTAAAAGAAATGTTAAATATTTTTAATCAGTGTCTGGATTCAAAACAAAAATACTAACAGTGATATAAAATCATTGAAATAGTTCATGAGAAATATGGAAGTGTTCAAAAAAATAAAGAAATCAAATAAATCCCATACACACAAAAAACTGATGACTCATGGCAGAACTTTCACTGAAATCTGTAGTCAGCAGTTTTTGATATGTCCTGCTAACAGATAAACAACTGCACCAAACATGTGATGAAACCATTCAATCAAGAGAATGGGACTAATGAGACACTGAAGATACAAGTGTGTCAAGTGTGTGTGTGTGTGTGTGTGTGTGTGTGTGTGTGTGTGTGCATACGTGCGTATCGATCGTACAAAAAGTGCTCAGCTGTGTGTTGATGTCTTACTGGTGCCAGATAATGAGCTGAGTACTTAAGACTGAGAGGAGGAGAGCTTCACACCCTGACAGGAAACACCAACATGCATACAAAGCAGAACTTAAACACACACACACACACACACACACACACACACACACACATTGTTCTCACCTCCTATGAGCATGGTGCAGATGGAGAAGATCTTCTCAGAGTCCGTGTTTGCTGACACATTTCCAAACCCCACACTGGTGAGACTGCTCAGAGCAAAGTACAGTGATGTCACATAGCTGCTGCGCATCGACGGACCGCCACCCAGCACCCCGCTGCCGGTGCCCATTCCCAACACGGCCTCGCCTCCAGACATGTTTCCGTAATACTGGCTGGAGTTCCAGGAGCCCTGACTCCCGACCTCTGACCCCGACACGTTCCACTGACTGCTGTTGGCCAGGAGGCTGCTGACTGTGGTGGGGACCAGCGTTGTGAGGGTGGGCAGGAAGTAGGGCGTCCCCAGGCGCTTGGCCAGCTCATGGAGCCAACCTGAGAGACAAAGATGGAGAAATTCATTAGAAAATGTTCAGCTCTGACACAATGAAACAGACTGTTACTATTCCATCACAAAACTAAACCATCATCTCCCACTGTCCACAAAACTCCTGCTGAAGCTCATTTAGAGCCAAATATTTCCTGACAAATCCACCTTTTGGTTATGTGGCATCCAGTGATGGAGAGTAACTAAGTACATTTATACAAGTCCTTTCATTTAGTACCATTCTGAGGTACTTGCGCTTTATGGGACTTTATACTTCTACTTCACTACATGTCAGTAAAATATTGTACTTTTGAATTTATGTAACAGCTTTCCCAGTGTGTAGGACTGAGGGACAGAAATTGTATCTAATATTCATAATTATGCTTTTATTAGTGTTTAATCATCTGAAAATAAGAATCTTGTTTTCATCACCTTAGAATGAGTCATTTATATCTACATAGGGAGCAGGTCCTCGCCTACACAGACTGCCATGTTGTATTGCCATGTTTCTACAGTAGCCTAGCATGGACAAACACTGGCTCTACTATGGACATCCACATTTTCACGACTTTGCGATGACCGCAGTTTTCCCACACGTAGCACACGGGAGGAGTCTCAGCTCTGTCACCTCACCTCAACAGAATATTTTCACATTGTAGTATTGCTAATTTGACTTAAATGAGCAGTGTGTAAGATTTAGTGGAATATAATGGTTAGGACTGCAGATTGCAACCAGCTGAAACTTCTCCTGGTTAGAATTCCTTCAGAGTTCATTGTTCAGGAGGTTTTTACCAGGAGCTTAATTATCTGTAGAAGATTCTTCCAGGTGAATAAAACCGGTAAAAACACTGAATAAAACAGTTTCACTTTCCCAGTCAGTGATTCTGTGACGCTCTTTGGCTCATCACAGATGGGCCACTAGCGCGCTCCTGCTAACGTTTGCTCGCTTATTTCTGATTTAGAGGTTCAGGATGTTTTTACCAGCAGCTAAATTATCCGTAAAGGTCTCGCCCTCTCCAAGACCAATATACCAGGAGATTTAAACCAGTAAAAACACTGAATAAAGACGTTTCACGTTACAAAATCAGTGTTTTTTCAGCACTGCTTGTTGCAAAGGGACTGCAAACTGTCCGTTCTGGGCTACTGTAGAAACATGGCAGTGCAACACAATGATCTCCATATACGAGGACCTGCTTCCTATGTAGATAAAAACGGCTCATTCTAAGGTAACAAATACACAATGATTATTATTTTCAGGTGTATTCACGTATATTCCATTTCTGCCAACAATCCTGTGTTAAGGCACTCATGCTGCTAGGTCCCGGAGCTCCCCGCCTGCCCGCCAGGGACGCCAAACACTGTCCATCTGCACACACTCCTCACACTGTCATGACACCTGGTTGAAAGTCAGCAATGTATCTCTTAAAGTAAATTACGTTAATATTTCTTTCACCCCTGAAGGCATCGACAGCACTGGAATGAGCTGCTGTCACTCACTACAGGACCCGCACTGTAGTGTGGGGCTCATATTAAAGACTTCACTCATTCTGTTGATTTGTATTTCTAATTAAGCAAACCTGGACATTAAGTTACCTGGAACATGTGCATCTGTCTGTCTGACTTTGTTGTTCAAAGACAGGATTAAGTTAATTTTACAAACATGAAGGAAGTGATTCAGCTTTAGAGGAAGGACAGAAGGAAAGACAGAAGGAAGGACAGAAGGAAGGACAGAAAAGGGAGACTGGAATGGACCAAAGAAGGAGAAAGTAGGAAGCAGGAGGTGAGGAAGGATAAATTATAGATAAACTGTTTGTGAGTGGACGAGCAGTGAAACCCAGCTGAGACACCGACAGCAGAATCAGTAAAAGAAAGACAGCAGAGTGGGAATATGAATAATACAATACTGATGCATCCATTCATTGATCTCCGGCATCACACACTCCAGCCAAGCAGCTTCGACCTTGTGTGTGTGCGCGTGTGTGTGAGAGCTCTCCGCCTGCCAGCATAAATAAGCTGGAGTGACAATCGAGCTGCGAGCAGAGTCCCAGCAAAGCAGCTAAACCAACAACATTAGCGGATTTAACACCTGAGTAGTTTCCTAATTACTTTGTCATTAGCACAACTTAACCTCTGCCTTCCTGTGGAAACGTGTACCCGACTGAGCCCTCACACTGCATGTGTGTCTGCGCCTGGAGAGCAGAATATATAAAAAAATAAACTACAAAGAATTTCTTTGATCTCGTCAATGCACAAGGGAACGTGAAGGGCATTACTGATGTTAGCGTAGGCTGCGCCATAATGAAGTCTGCACGTCTGAGGACACACTGAGATAAAACACTTCTTTCTTTTTCTGTTCATGATTTCAGTTTGTGACATTGAATTCAGCTGAGAGGGCAGCACTGTTTGGGTATTGTGACAGTCTCTCTGTAATTTAACTCGATCATCATGCTCAGTTTCATCTGGTCCTCATAGTGGCAGGTTATCGTTCAGCCGTCGCAACAGGTGATGATGTTTTTTTATCAGGGGATCTTCAGGTAAATACTGTACAAGTATTCAAAGCTCCAGTGGAGGATTTATGGGGATATATTGACAGACATGCAATATAAGAAATATGTTTTCTTAAGTGTATAATCACCTGAAAATAAAAGTCATTGTGTTCTCGTCACCTTAAAATGAGCCATTTATATCTACACAGGGTGCAGGTCTTTGTTTAGATTGCCATTTTGCCCCACTATGTTTCTACAGTAGCCCAGAACGGACAAACCAAACACTGGCTATAGATAGTGTCATTCCTGTTTTCGTGGGTTTGCGTCACTCAACTCAGTTCGAGGCCCAACTCTAATGAGCAGCACTGCAGTTACACTGATTTGTAACATGACACTGCTTTATTCAGTGTTTCTGACAGTTGAAATCAGCCTGTCTGTTTGTTTTGGAGAGGAAGAGACCCCTGCAGATAATTCTGCTTGTGGTAAAAAAACCTCCAGAATGTCTTGATCTTATGTTATCGGAGACAAAAGATAACCACACATTTGCAATTGCTGGACAAGCTGCCTGCAGCGACATGCCAGACTACATCAGAAACACATGGATTTGTAATGTCTAACTGCACTGTTAAGTGTTTTTACTTGTTTAAATTACTGGGTCTGTTTGTCTTGGAGAGGAAGAGAACATCTGAGATCCTCAGATGCATCTTTTTGTGTTGTTCCGAGGTCCAGATTAATCCACAAAGGTGACAGAGCCTTTGCAGTACGAGCTCCAGGACTTCAGAAGGACCTACCTGAGGAGATCGAGGCTGCGAATTCTGTCTCATCACCTCTGAAATCCTGCTTGTTTAAAATGGCCTTTCTGCTTTATTATTGTGTGTTTTACTCTGTTATGGGTATTTTGTTTTTATTCCTTTTATCTTGATATTTGCTCTGTCCCTCATTCGGTTTTGTAAAGCACTTTGTTACTGTGTTTTTGAAAGGTGCTATATGAATAACGTTTATTATTATTTTTATTTCCTGGATTACATAAAGGAGAGCACACATTAACTTATGAGAAAAAAGGGGCGAGCCACACATCATAAGATGCCGAACAGCATCCGAGATACACTGATTTGTGACGTGAAACTGCTTTATTCAGTGTTTTGACCTCTGTGGATAACTCGACTCCCAATAAACATCTCCTGAACAATGACCACTGAAGGAATACTAGCCGAGAAAAGTTTTAGCTGGTTGCAATCTGCAATTCACCGCAAGACGGCACTAAATCCCCCCAAATCTTACACACTTCACTTTTTAGAATATTGACATTTATTTTAATCTTACTGTCTGTAAACTAGATGTTTCTGCAAAGGCAAAGACCTTTTATATTCTGCTTGTTTAACACATAATGAGCAGGCAGGTGAAACAGCGGTAAGAGTCAGTTTCTTGGCTTTGAGCCTTCCAAGACATAAGTTCAGTATAATGCACCTGGCATAGCACCCAGCAGCAGAGAGCAGGTGGGTCACTAGTGTCCGCTGGATCCACACAAACCGTTCACAGAGGGAGCAGACAGGAGGCGATGTCAGATAAGCAGAGAGTCCGATACCAGGTGAACAATGCTGTGGTTAACATGTGGTTATGTTTAGGCACAAAAATCACATGGTTATGTTCAAGAAAAAAAATCATATTTTGGCTGAAATCACCCAGATTCATTGGCTCAATGCTGCTGGAAAATACTGTGGTGAGTCAGTGAAAAACACACAGGTTCTGTCCCACAAACACCTGTGGAAACATCACAAAGAGTCAACAAGAGACAGCCAGTGTGGTCTTCAGCTTGGCAGGCGTCTCACCTAAGTGCCACACCATCCACCATCACCTCCACCTCCCCATGACAAAGTCAGCTCATATATGATGTCACTTTAGCAAGGCTAAAAATGATACGTATGACACGTTCAACTGTAATGTCTTCATGGTTTTCAGAATGTGAACATTTTCCTCTGGTGACTGAGCTGTGTGTCTCGCTAAATCATCAACACTTCATAATGATGGTACAAAACACAGACCTAAGTTTCATTGATTCCTGCTGCTCAATATTTAAGTGCTTCAGATTACACTCTGCCATCTGAGCATGATTAGAGAGCAGCAGAAGACAGGAGGGAGAAAATATATAAATCAACTAAAAGCAAAAAGACATCAAAGGAGCAACCTGAGGATTTCCCTCCCAGTCGTCGTTAGGTGCTGTCGGATAAAACTACTGAAGTCTGATACAAAAGTGCTGCTATAAAGAAGCTCTAATGTTCAGCTACCTGTTTAAGAGGTGTTAATTCAACTATATGATCATCTGAGACAAGCTCCTGACATGACACAGAGTAAATGGGGCCTTTCTTATTTTAGTGTGTTTGGATGCAGCTTCTCTGCCTCTGTCCACGGTGCTGATTCCTCCTGTTGACTGAACTCAGCTGTGAGCTGTCTGTGGTCCTGAATGCATCAGTCTCTCTCTGTGTGTTCATGTCAGTATTCACAACAGTGACATTTTGGACTGA